CTATATATGGCACAAAACCTTGGTACACACAGTGCTTAAAGCACACATGCACACTGGAAGGGCTATCCTGACACATTTTGTACATTTCTGCTTATAAAAGTTGACAAAATGTTTCCAGTATCTAGACGTTGCTCAAGACCTTTCATAACAGCAGTACAATAAAAACAAAGAGCTCATACAGAGCAACAAAAGCATTGAAGCTTTTGCAAATTGTATCCAGAACTGTATCAAGCTCCAGACACTAAAAGCCCAGACCAAACAGAAAAGGCAGACCCAAAATAAAACCCAAGGAACACTCTAGTACTCCATGTGCTGTCCTTCTGCTGCAGAACTGCAGTGTTAGTACTGAAACAGAACTGTGATTTTTGCAGCTCTGGCATTACACTGCCTGAGGTCCCTTCATCCCACGCAGATAAACCATGTGTGAATAGTGACTGAAACCAGACTACAGCAAGTATCCAGGAAACTACTCCCAATCATACTTACCTATCCAGAATGTTGGATCTCACAGTTTTTTGGGGTTTTTTTTTGAGCTTGTGTTTTTTGGATTTTTTTGCAGGGGCACAAGCAGCACCCAGCAATGGGCCCTTTCAAACCAATGCCCAGTGCCTGATGCTGTGACCACAAACCTTCAAACAGTTTCTGATCAATGCTAATTTAATATGCTGCAACAATACCTGAGGAATTATTAAATACACACAAGCATTCAGGACATGAGAAATTGCTTCACAGTGACCTCGTCTTATGAGGACTCCTTTAGTTGTAGCAAAGTCCAAACACTTTACAGCCACAGGCAGAGAAAGCAAATCAAGCCTGTGAACAAAGCTTTGCGTGGAACATCCCTGCAGGCAGAAGTCAGTGTTGGCTTCTTACCTCAGAGTCAAACTCACAGAAACGAAACTAATAGACAAATTTCCAGCTCTAGTTCTATGATTATTAAGTGCCTGGGACAGAAGCTAGAAAAATAAATACAGGGAGAAGTACACAAGTACAGTGCTTGAAAGGGAAGGAAGGGATAGATCACTCCCATGAAAGGCAAATACCACAATTAAAACTCCCACTGTAAAAGCAAGATTTTTCTTAACTTCCAGTGATCAGAGCTGCTAACTTGCATATACTTAGAAAATGGCTTTTCTTATTATGTGCAAGAGTCACAAACATTTTACATTGCACCAAACCACAGGCCACAACTGCAATTTGGCCCCAGTCTGACAGAACTCCAAGTAAACATCAAGCCAAAGCAACCCAAAAGCAACAATTTTCCCAGGAGTATTTATATACTATAGAGCTCAACACACAAAAAAAGTGACTTAATATCAAAGTTTTAACTTGTCATTTGAAGCTAGCTGACTGAATATTCAGATACCTCAGATTTATATAGCTTCATGAATATCTAGACACTCCATATGAGCATCTCTAGATACTATATACTAACTGCTAATCACCTCTTCCTGGATCCTACATGACCAAATCCATCAGCAGGGACTCTCTGCCACTGACACACAACAGTTCCAAGGCCAAGGTTCTCAAAAAGCAATCATGTAGGCACCAAGTCCAGCTGCCTCACTTCAACTGATCAGACTGTGCAGTCATCACAAGTGTGAAATCAAACACACTTGCTAAAAATGCTACCACCTAGTCAAGTTTCACAGAATAATAAAAGTATTTTTAAGTCTCTCTTCTTTGTATTTGCAAAGACTTCACAGAGCACAGAGATGATGAAAACATTTTGTCTGACATTACACACACTTGATTCAGATGCTCAGTGGAATTAAGGTCAAGTATGGAAATCCAAGTCAGAATTGAGAGCCAGAATGCACATGCAAAGCTTTAGCACAGTAAAGCAGCCATGGCAGTTTGTGATGCACTGTTTGGCTGCTGAACACCACTGCAGAAAAGCAGTGTCCAAATGTCCTTCCTTCAGCCACACAGCTGGTAATGGAAGTCATGATAGGCTGATGCACCTGGGGAAAATCACCAGTACTCTGCAGGCTCAAGACAACTTCAGCACTTCAGTCTAGAAACTCCTTTCCAGCACAACTGCCCCATCTCTTACCTCCAGTATAAAGTCAAACCTTAAATTCAGAACTATCACAGTACATATCAGTATCCTCCTTTTCCACTTGCAGAATAAATTAAATCTAAGTTGGTTGAAGTATTTTTAGGCAGTAGCATCTTCAGCTGCTATTTTTTTTGTATTTCCTATAATAATTGCTATGAACCTTACCAGGGAAACAGTACAATTTCCTTTACCTCCTCTCCTTATTGTTGGATAAAAAACACATTAAATTAGTTTAGAAATACAACATCAAAAATGCAAGACAAATATAGAACACCCCATCAATGCATGCCTTCATCTGCAAGTACTCTGAAGCCACACTTGAAAAGAGCAGCATCATTCCCTTGATCGGGGCCCTGAGAACCTGACAGCTCCCCAGCCATCCAGTCTGGCAAACTTCCACAAATTGGAGCATTTTTGCACAAGGAATCCAATCTAGCCTTGCTAGAACCTGCCCATCACCACTTCCAGCATTTCAGGTTCCTCCCCAAAGGAGAAGTTAATTTATTATAGGTATACTCCATGAAATAGTCTATAAAATTCCTTACAGTAACTACAGGCACTTTTCTCCTTTTTCTGTGGATCCCATCTTTCCTATTACAAGCAACACACGTAAAAATGTTTCTCCATTGTCAAAGCAGCAACCATTCTTGCTAGGTGAAGCACTGTGAGATTCTAAAGTAATTTTGTAATAAGTTACTAATCACTGTATGAAAAGCCCATTAAGTTCTTCTCAAGTTTTCAAGCCATACGCATCAGACCAAGTGTTGCAGTCAACTGCAAAATTGCCAAGGTCCAGAATGGAGCCCATCACCACCTGGCAGCCCCACCAGAGGAAATCAAAGCAACCTGTCACAGGACACAAGAGGGACATTCACAATATGGCTGAATTTTTTTTAAACACAACCCATGACTCTTAATCCTTCAAAATAACATCACAGGTTTGTCTTCAGACTGGTTATAAAACCTGCCTAGAATGACAGAGAAGGTTCAAGCTGAACCAGTCTCATTGTCATCCACTGGGAAGATATTCAAAGGAAGGAAAAAAAACAAAGGCCTTGTAGCTTTCCCCCGGTTCCTGCTGCTCATACAGGTGATGACACAGGACATGTTGCAGCCTAAGAACCTGTTGCACTCAAACCCACCAGGCACACATTATTTCAGTCAGGAGGAAGTCCTCTCAGCAAAAGGGATGCCACTGAAACTGAAAAAGGTTCCTAACGAGGCCCTAAAGTTTCAATACTAAATACCCATCAATAAAGTTGTCTCTTACATGGGCAAAGACATAGAAGAAAGCAGCAGCTTCACTTCCTGGAGTTCACTGGGCTTCCCAAGACAGCATCTGGACAGCTGGCTAAACTTGAGATAACATCCCATGTATACATACTTTGGCTAAATATAATGAAAACCTCCGTATAAAATTACAATATCTCATTCATGTTGTATGAGCCCAATATCACAACATCATAAATATTTCTCTTAGCAGTACTGCAGTTGGCATACTTGAGTCAGTCTGTTAAAAATATAGAATTTAAAAAAACCAAAAAACTAACATTTTAATACTATGTGCTGCAATTTGTCCGATCAGCTTATTTTGAAAATAAAGCTTTTTGCCAGTGCCATGGAAGTTAAGCTTTGCTCCCCCATCTTTGTCAGGTACATGCATAGTCCTCACAGGAAAAGGGAAATTGTATTAAAAAATAAAAAGCACACTTTGACATAAACAGAAAAATTAACTGCATTTCAAGGAAAGTAGACCAGGAAAGGCATTATAAAATCCTTCATACAGAACTGATCCTGCTGTCTTACCTTACAGCTCAATGAGAAATTAATATTATTTGGACAAACCTCAAGTATTTTATAGATGAAAAAAAATCCCATTTAGTGTCAAAGGAAATAAAGGTGTGACCGGCAGTTTCTATTTTTCAGAAGTTTACTTTTATACGAAGTATGAAAGACCTCAAAGCAGGCTGATGGAAAGAGTGACTTATGAACAATTCATAAATGTTCTAGGAAGGAAAAACTGGGAAAGAGACACAGATCCAAAAATAATGGAAGTATGGGTTCCACTCCCACTTTTGATACTTCATGTGGAAGAGAAACCAATTACCTAATCTTTGTGCTTCGTATCTTTCCCTCCCCACTGCTCCTGCTCCTCCCTCAACATCTTGTCTACTTAAGCTGTACAACTCCTCACGGCTAGAAGGGAACCTCAGCACACGTTCCAACCACCCAACCCTAACAAAATTCAGTCTCAATACAACCTTATGTGCGCAAGTCCCAGTGAAATGGCAACAATACAAACGAATCAAAGGCATAGTTACACCTATGAGTCCTGACAAACCTCTGATCAGTCACTCGTACGACTGCGAGGGCATATTGTTTAGTTTATGCTTTTAAGAAAAACAGGAAAATAAGCCGGGAAATCGAAGGAAGTTAGCGTTACCTAACACACGAGAGAAATAAATGAGAACTACATGACTATTTAGAGAGCCCGGCCTGGGGGGGGCCGGGGGGGCAGAATCCGACTAATCTGACCGGAAAACAAGGAAGCGCCGTCTGCCCTGGAGAGCCTCCACCCAGGAACGGGAGTCCCGGTGATTCACAGGCAAAATCAGAAAAAGAAAAATCCGGCTGAGCTCTGTACAGGCGAAAACAGCAGCGCTATAGGAAGAAGGTCTGCGGTAAACACACAGACACAACGAGCCCGTAGGTCAGTGTCAGGGGTCCAAGCGATCCACGGCGGGATATCGCTCACTGCCACCGGCAGAGCCGTGACCTACAGCCGGGGAGCCCCATCCGCCCGCCGTGCCCTTCCCGACGCTTCGGCGGAGCCCTGCCCGCAGCACGGGGGAGGGACGGGGGCTCGGAAACCCGCAGTGCCGCCGCTCCCGGGCCCCGCCGCGGAGCCGCACCCCCAGCCCCGCTTCCCCGCGCTCACCTGCACCTGCTGGCGGCAGCGGAGCCGCCTCGCCGCTGCCCACGAGAGGCCACAGCAGAAGTACGAGCCCGAGCAGGTGTCGCGGGCCGAGGAGCCGCGGGCCACCGCCCCCCCGCCGCCCGGCGCTCCCGCCGAGCCCCCCGCGCTGCCGCATGCCGTCCGCTCCCGGACCGAGGCCCGGCGCCGAACGAGGGGCTCGAGGTTCTCAGCGACTCCGGGGAGCCCCCGCGGCAGCCGCCGCCCTCCGGCTTCGCGGCATCGGCCCCGCCGCCGCTCCTCTCACAGAGCTCCACCGGCCCCCGCCGCCGCCATCTTCCGGGCTACCTGACCGCGACTGGGCGGGGCGAGCCACTGATTGACAGCCCGGCGCACCAATCAAACCGCGTCTCGCGCTCAGGAGGCGGCTCCACTGGTTGGGCTGGAGCTAATCCGTGATTGACAGCTACTTCAGCCAATCGCTCCGCAGAGGGCGAGCCAGGGCGAGGGAAGGCTGCGGCGCGAGAGCAGCGGCGCGCGGTTGCCAATCAAGCCAGTCTCCGAGCGGTGGGAGGAGGGCGGGGTGTCGCTCTGATTGACGGCTCCCTCCACCAACCGGCTGGCGGGGCGGGGCGGGGGAGGCGGGGCTTGGCCGAGCCCGCGCGCAGGACTCGAGGGCGCGGGGGCAGCAGCGCCCCCTGGTGGCTCAGTGTCCCCTCAGGGCCGGTAGGGGCGTGGAGCCCCCTCAGAGCTGGCCCGGGACCGCCCCGGCCATCCTTTGGGATCAGCCCTGGGGGAATCAACCCTGCGGGATCACAGAGCCCCGGCCATCCCTTGGGATCAGCCTTGTGGGATCACAGCCCTTCCTGCCATTCCTTGGGATCAGCCCTGGGGGATCAGCCCTGCGGGAGCACAGAGCCCCGGCCATCCCTTGGGATCAGCCCTGTGGGATCACAGAGCCCCGGCCATCCCTTGGGATGAGCGCGACCTATTCGTGCTGCTGTGCAGAACGTGATGAGCCCCAGGTCAGACCCTGGGATGGGCACACCACCCTCCCTCTGCAGCCCGAGTGCTTCCAATGCTGGAGGTGACCTTGTTAAATTATTGATACCAGCAGGATTTAGAAATAAAGATTATTCTCGTTTAGGTCTGTGATTCTGCTGAACTTTGAGTACATGAAAATGAGGTGTCAGCTCTAAGCAGCATAAGTGGAAGTGTTAATCCTAAGGAATCGGGTTCTCCGCAGTGAGGAAACAGGGAAATACTGTATGACTAACAAACTAATTTCCGTTTCCCAAATAATTTAACAAAACGGCTAATTATGTCAGGATTATATAATGACTTTGGGAGCACAGATTGTCCAAAGAAATGTACAATGAGTGCACCCCTGGGAATACATGAAAGGAAAGTTTTGTGTTTAAAGTAGTTTTTGGAACATGGTGTCCGGGAAGACAAAACATAAACCTGAATCTCCTCTGTCCCTCTGAATTTTTTCTGCTATGGGGATATACTTGACTCAAGCTACTCATACCAAGTGTGTGTCTAACCTCAGTCTGCTATCCTCTGTCTTGTTGAAGACACTAATTGTGTTACCAAATGACCCATATTTTTTGAAATGCTCTAATTAGTGTTCCTTCCAAAGGAAATATTTTACTTGAATAATAAAATTGAATACAATCTTCTCTTTTGTTGCTTTAGTAAATTATTACTAATTCATTATGCCGTTTATAATTAATTACTTTTTAAAAGTAGTCCCAGAATATTGTTTGTCTGGCTGTCTGTGGATGTCATGGATGGGAGGCAAAATGTGATCCCTTCCCTTTAAAATTATGGATATGTTATATACAATTTATAATATGTATGGCATAAATTTTTTTCATGTACAATCAGCCACCATCTCCATTTAAACATCTCTTTGCTGTTGTAATACTGAGGCTGGTGATGACAAAACTGGGTCATTTTCTGTACATGCTGTAAATATCCAGTGGAAACATCAAGGTTAGTCCTTTATCCTTCATTCTATCCCATCTCCCTCCCATGAGCATGGACATCACAGCTGGGGTCCCTGGACATGTGTGTGGCTCCTGGCTGACGTTAGAGCCGCACTTTGTAATGATGGTGATTCAAATAACACCGTGGTTCTGTTGTGTAATGTGGGCAGATCCTGTGTCCTGATCCCTGCAGTGCCTTGGCTTGAGGTATTTCTGAGCTCTGTCACTGACCTCATGCAAATTCCACACAGAAAAAATGTTGAGATTGATAGCAGCTACAGACATGAAGTTCAACCTTCCTTTGTAGCCTTCCAGCAGGTCTACAATGCAAGGGTGTTCTCATTTCACTGCTGAAAATAATTCATGGCATCTCAGCACAGCAGGCTGCTTGATTTCCCAACCCACCCTATCATAATTGAATGCTGGGCCTGCCTTTGATGCAATTTTCTGATAAAACATCATGTTGTAATATCATCTGGGACATTATGGCAGCATATCATTAAAAGGACTTGTTAGAGCACTATTCTATAATGATAGGACACTTAAGGTTTGCTGTGAATTAGTCACTGGTAGAAGCCAAATAACCAAACCTTCCAATCCTTTGTTCTACATGTTAGTCACAGTTTAGTCCCTATTTTCAAATACACCATGAACATAAAAAAAAAATTCCAAGGACGCAAAGCCTCATCTCCTATCTCCATCCTCAGGAATGCTAGATTCACCCATTTAAAATTTCTGCAATTAAACATCTGTGGTAACTGCACAAGACTAATGGGATGAGCAATATAATAGCAAGTAATCTGAAAGGTACTTAAAAAGAAAATATATTTACTTAAACAAAACTCTACACAAAATGGGACATGTTATCACGTATCACAGCCTCGTGTTTCTTGATTATGCACTGTTATCGTGGCCAAATTACTGAAGCTGCATGGGAGGTGTTCAAACCTTTTTTTAGAGACAGATAATTGGATCGGCTAAAGGATGTTGATAGTTTTATTTTCAGTTGGTTTACTTCAATATTTTTGATAAAATTATTGGTGTGGAAGGAGTATTTGTCTAGCAAGATGAGCAAGTTGCCAGAGGGGTGTTAAAGGTCCTCAATGTAACTGTGAATAAAGCCCCAAAATATTCACAATTCATTTGCTACAATGCAGCATCACCAAGCCCAGGAACCGAGCTGATCACAGGACGCAGCTCTTTCATCCTGATCACTGTTATAAGCACAAAGATTGGCTCTGTATTTATGAATGTTGAGACACACACTCTGTTCTCCCTCCCCCCAAAAGAATCATCTCTCATGCTTTCAAATATAACCTTTCTTCCCTGTCAGTGTTGGCTTTTTGTATTTAACAAAGTGATTTGCTTCTCCACCTGACAGACACGAAATAAATATCACTGGTTTTAACCTCCACCTTCAGTCATCAGTGACCTAATCATGTTTTCTATAACTGGAGGCTTCTTTCTCCATTCCAAAGTCCAGCATCCAGAATATCACATTTCAAGGAAAACTGGCTGAAGAAAACTGCATTTAAACAGTTCAGTAAAAGAAATTTTCTCATTTGTGTCAATTTTTTTATCTTCGTGTCTATCATTCTAAAATGGGTTTAGGTCAGAACTCTGATTTCTTCCCACAAATAATTAAGCTTGCACGTGGAGAAACAAACCTCTGGAATATATGGTCTACATATTTTCAATTGCTGCTAGAAAATTCAGTTTGCATTAATTTTAAAATGTGTTAACTACAGATCAGACAGCGCTTTTTTCATCCATTCCTTGTAAATCATTCAGTAATTATATTCTTCATGGGAAATACTTAATATCTAGATTTGCATCTGCCACTAACATCCTGCAAAATTTAGTGCAGGTTTCATTTCTGTTGACTCAGAAATACCTAGTGGATTTTGATGAGCCTGATTGGGAAGGTTCTGCTTACTCTGGCTTCAAACAGGTAGGCTTTCAATATGCATTAGATAAGAAGATGGATTATAATTGTAAATGTATCTTATTCAATAATTTAAATTTACTTTATTTACTTTATTAAATAAATTCATTTCACTTTAGTCCACAGAACCATTCTATGGAATCAATGTAACTAGTCAAAAGAATTAATTTTTGTGAAAGAGAACTTAAGTGCTCCCTCAAAGAAGTAGAAGTGCCAACATTAGTATAAATTTATTCTCAAGAGGATTCCACCCTGGTTTACAAAAAATAGAGTCACAAGTGGGTAAATTTCTTTCCCCACCTGTTACTCTGATGTTGTTGCCATCCAAATTGCCAATTCATGCAAATTTTGAAGCTGGATTTTATGCCACTGACAACTGTCTAATGCTGAAATAAAAGACACATCTGTGGTGATAAATCTCTACTTTAAAGTTTCCTATAGAACCTTCCCCCAAAATCATGAGAGAAATTATATGTGTCTATTCCCTCTACAGGTATAGAAGATTTAATAAATTTCCATTAACATGAAAAGGAAATGCAGAGTTATGATTTTTGTGTAAAGAAGCTGTTGTAATACGTTCTCAGCTACATTAGAAATTCCTTCCACCCTCTCCTATTTATTTTTAGCAAACATTAAACTGTGTGGACTATTAAATTTTGCTCCAGATGCAGCAAAGCAGGACTGAAGAGAGTGAGAAACCATTTAACCAAATGAATGTCTAATGCAGTCCTGATCTAAATATCCATTGTATGTGTGTCAAGGGAAAAAAAGCAAACCAGAAAGAATATTCTCACAAACAGACCAAGTAAGAAGCAGGAGATCAAACAACGAGGTTGCAGTTCAGCCTCTCCTCATGCAATACTTTCATTAAGGCAATAGTCGTGGAAGCTGCTCAGCAACTCTCATGAACTTGTCCTATCTGAGACTGCTCAAAAAATCAAATGTCACCTCGTGAGGCTCCGGGTGTTCTTACACTGGAGGTGTAGGTGACAACAACAGCACTTCTGCAAAGGAACAGCTCAGCACCACTTCTGCCTAAGTGTAAGGGTTTAGAAAAGCTACCTACAAGGTACAGAACCAGGCAGTGCCTTTGAGAAACAAACCATCTCCAGGCTGCAGAACGCTCCTGTAATTAGCCATGGTTCATTAAGTATTTGCTGATGCAAACTCTGCTTACACAATGACAAAAAAGCATTATCTGCTTCTAGACCTCTTGAACAGCAGGAATCTCTTCACCACAAA